GGTTGCACCTCGTGTGAGTGTCTTCGCGAGATCTGTAGCTACTTTGACACGATCAGAAAAGCGAGCCACAGAGGCAAATGGATTTTCCCAGCGTGATCGAAGTTGAAGAAGGTGGTCTCGACGGGTCCGCAGTGAGAATATGAAAAGTTCGTCTATTGACATCATCAGAAAATGGCAGAATAAAGCACTAGACTCACTTACTCGCATCAGAGGAAAGAGCAAGCTCTAAAGCAGCGAGCTCGTCTCCAAAATATCGGCACAAGTTGTCAGCTTCAATACTGAGCCGTTGCCGCTCCTCTTGACATCGATCATGCTTGAGGAGGGCGCGGATTCCATCTCTCACATCTGAATCGTCTAACCAGCGTGGTATGTCTCCTGCAGACGGCGCGATCCAAACGTCCTCCATTAGAGCTTGGTCGTTGCGTAGATCCGCTAGTTTAGTTGGAAGTGCCATCGGGAGTGGTATCCCCCATGAAGGGTCGTAGAGGGTGTCTAGGCGCTCACAATAAGAGTTGAACTTACGAATTGCTGTCATCAGGGCTGGTTGTCTCTTGGCTATTGCTTTACGAGTTTGCTGGTGAAGCTTGGTGCCTAATATGTTGAGATTAGTCCAATGTGCCTTTGATCCGGTTTAGTCTCACCTAACGCTTGCTGAGCACCACCAACTGCCCTATCGAGTTTATCCCACTCGAAGAAAACTACCGATTGCCCGTTTGCGTATGTTGATCTTGAGGTCGCGGGCCATCAGGAGGGTGTGGACAAAATCTAGGTTGACGCCCTGAAGCTCTGGAAACCTGTCATGGATATTCAGTGAAGCGTATAGCGCTTCGACCTTGTCCATGAGACGTTGATGCCCCCTCTCGAGACCTTCGAGAGCACTCAGGGTATCATCTGAAGGTGCCTCCTTTTCAAGCATGGTGCGGGTAGCCTGCAACGCCCGATCTGAAGTATCCATATCAGATTGTAGCGCAAGCACTGTATCCAGTTCCTTTTTGAGACGCGCAGGAGCGTCTTATAAAAAACTAATCAGTTAAACTAACACGAGAATAGTATGTACCAGTACTTACGAGCACGCACAGAGAGTTGCGCACGCCGCTGATCAGCCCACAGTGACCGTAAATCTTCAATCGAGACACCACAGTGATTAAGAATGTCCTCGGTGGTATTGACTTGAGTCTTGATGCCACGAAATCGTCGCTTGATCCAGTCACCGAGGTCTGTGCGCATCTCAGCTCCGATGGAGGCTGCCTGACGGTCTATAAGCCACAGACGCCGTTGGCGCTGAAATGTGCCAGAATAAATTGAAATATATATGTGAGATTGAGAATGGAGATGTGCTTACCGATGATGACCGCTCAATACCGATTAGACGAATGAGTCGCGACCAAAGTCGCTCGGTACCTTCTCCGTCTGATAGACCCATTCCAACGCACATCCGGGGATTATAGACAAGTTGACATCCCCACTCGTGGCCATACGCGTGCATGGCAGTTGTTGCGAAGCGGAGGCGTGAAGTAATAGAAACATCTAGAATATGATACTGCAGAATGTTAGGGATACACATCACTCAAGTTACAAAACATACCTGTGAAAGTGAGCGAGCTAGTACGCAGCCAACATCGTATAGAGCAATAACTGTTGCCTGTGTGGGAGAAGTGAGAACAGATGTTCTAGTAAGGCAACAGAGTACTTCTGCTGTTCGCCGGGGTTGTATCGATGTTTGTAAAGAATAGGGGAATGTCGTGACGGCAAATGAGTGCCATCAAACCAGTGTCGTCAAAGCTTTCCATGGCAGTCTTCTGCTTTTTCCCATCAGCGGCTTCGTAGGACTGCTCGCACTGGTCAATGGCCTCGTTAGGTACAATAGGAGTATGTGTCGTAGCAGGGCGCTTCCGATTCTTATGTATCCGAGAGCCAACTTGATCGACGTACGTCTTTGGTAGGAAGTATGATGGATTATAGAAGTGAGGGCAGTCGCCCGCTGAGCGGCGGTGACGATGATGAAAGTTGCCGTCTGTGGCGACATGAATGTCACCTCCTTGATCGAGGGGTCTGCCAAACAACACTCCTGCAAAACAAGCGGGACAACGCTCAACCAGGATTGATGCACAGTGTTCTCTGTGTAAGTGGGGACTCGGATCGAGCCTCTTGGGAGGTATCAAGGGTGTTGGGCATGAGGACAGGATGTACCTCGCGGACCTCTTGAGAGGGATGTACCTCGCGGACCTCTTGAGAAGGATGTACCACGCGGACCTCTTGAGAGTTTGTTGCAGGATCACAAACGGGTGGTGAGGGCTCACAGGAGGCTCGGATTCGGTCACGAGCTTGTTGGATTGCTTCTTTCAATTGTCCGCTCCACCTTGACGTGCAGAATGTCGTACCACTGAACTGCATGTCCAAGACTTCTTCTGAATGGTTCCTGGATGATGTTTCCCTGTGTAGTTTAGAGTTAGGGTTATTCTTGGATTTGAATATATAAACTTACATGTTCGTCAGTTGACTGGAAACCCCGCCGAGCGTAATGAGTTTTCAATGCGGCTGCAAGTGCGTTGACTGCATCACACGAACGCTCAAATAGCGCTCGATAAAAGGAAAGAAGTTCGATGGAAACCGCTATCCTTGGAAGCAAGGGCGCGGTTGGGAATAATCCGTGGAGTATAAGGACTTGGGAAATCGTTGAGCAATTACAGCTCAGGACCTCAATCGAGACAAATCCTAGTGTTGAATTAGTAAGGCCAGTGAATGATAAGAAGCCTAGCTACACTTACGATCAAAAAAGAGAGAAACGATGGATGAGCGCTTTTGAGCACATGAATTAACTGCACACGCAGATATGATAGAAGGCGACTTCTCGAGTGGCTGACCGACCGTTCTCGCGAGATAATTAAGGAGAGGTTTGATTAAGGTGGGGATCACACCTTGCCAATTTCCATAGAGTGTTCGTGACGCCTTGTCAGGGAGTGTGCGCCGCTGGAGCTGAATGAGCTGTGTGTTCGCTTGTAGTTTATCATGAGGGGGTGGATGTTGAAGCTCGGGCACTGGACAGTCCGATTCGTACACCCATTCATCGTCGTTCGAACTGCCTATAATTGCGGTCGGATCCATGTTTGAACTGCTGGGATTGAATACAGAAGCAGCCTCTGGTAATGTTGGATTGATAAGAGCTTGCATGCGTAGGGCGAGCTGGCGGCGTTTGACATCTGCGCCTGGGATATCGACAAATGTTTGCGTTTTTTTTCTTGTCTCGGGACTTGCGTGGACTAACAAAGTGTTTCCCAAGTCCCCGTCCAGAGGATGACACTTGCTCTGCACGGCGCATTCTGATTCAAGAGTGGTGGATGAGCTACTGCTACAATAAAACTACTAAGTGCCGGTAGAAACAGAAGGCCACGCATATGCAGCATGGTACTTACCCCCAACCCAGCGTGGAAGTGCCCCTATTAAGTGGAAAGACCTACTGAGAGGTGCGGGTAGCTATTGAGAGCACTTCTGAGTAGGACTAGAGGGCTATTGGAAGGTATGGGTAGCTATTGGGAGGAGTATTGAGAGGCGCCGTGTAGGTATGTATTTCATTTCTCACGCGATCTAAAATTAGAAGGCGGGAGGGGGGGGTCTCACAGACTAGTTGCCGCCAACATAGAAACTGGGTCTCTTAGACCCTTTATAGGCACCGAGAAGTGCTGCCTGAGGTGTGAAGCTACTAGTACTACTAGGCGAGTTCGATTTCGTAATGCTTCTTTTACTTGTCATTGAAAATAACTAACGAGTCACTTATTTCCAAGTGCGCTTGCAAGGCTGTGAATTCAAGAGCGAGCCATCGTCAGTATGATGTTTATTCAGTTGCCCCTCAATTCAGTCTTCGGTACGACTCATACTCAGAAAGTGAGGGACATATGCACATTGCCGTCGGAGTCCAAAGCGGCCCGATGATCCCAGTACAGAACCTTCTTCCCTGCTAACCCATTTCTCTGCTCGTCCTCAGTCCTGTCTGATAATTCACAATCACCTGAAGGTGGGTATCTCCCCGTCGCTTAACTCCGCTGGTCAATATGATTTTCCACCTGTCATGAACGATGACACAGCGGATATGACCTGTAACGGTCAATCGGTCAAAAACATCAACTGAGAGACAATGGAAACAAATGAGCTCTTTACAGTGGAATCCAAGTTGGTGGTTGGTGTCTCGTGTTCATTCTTCATGCTGAAATTGCACTAGATCTAGATTAAATTGGAACGCTTCAGTTGCTGCCAACCTTGTCATGTAACGAATGTTGTGAACGCTGTCTTTCTAGCAAGCTTTTCACATGCTTGCCGCAAGCGTAATGCGTACCGCCCGTCACAGAGGCGTTTCGAACGATATCAATCTATCAAAGACCTGGAAAGTAGGTGCCGCGTTTAGAGGATCGAGGTTCAAAACCGTTCAGCAATAGGTCATGATGCACTTCACAGGCTTTTGTATGCTTGATCAAAAGTCGAAATGCAGAAAGAGAAAATATATTTCGCACCGAGTTCGTAACTTAATGGTGTAGATATCCGTTCCAGCGTCAGCAAGTCATGTGACATATAGCTCGAGACGTGAGTGGTCCACAATCAGACGAATCACCGCATAAAGTCGACTTTCGATCAAGGAGGTGTGCACTGCGACAGCACTATGTAAATATTGATTAACGAAATACTGCAGGCCAAGGTGAACACTGTCAAATTCAAGGCCAATGGGCCCCGGGGACCAGGTCATAACCTTCCTTCTTGGTAACTTGAGTTCAATAGTGAGTCCGCGCCAGTTTCAGATGCACTATGGCAAGTCCTTCAAGTTCGATTCAGTCTTCGTTCATTTGGAGGAATCAATATTCAGGATTTGGCGTTGATTCCGCACTTCAAGTTCACCGGACTGAGTTGTATGTTTGATCTAATGTACATATACCACTCGAAGCACAGCCTACAACTATGAAGGTACATATTCGAGGACGTAACTCGTTCAACGAACTCTGCGTCATTCGCGCTCAATATGAACTCTTACAACCCATCCACCACCGCGGCCCATGCCCGACCAACTCGGTAAGGTAGTCCATCTGTTCCTGAATAGGACGGTCTTTAAAACACTCCTCTTCATCCGAACACACAGTGAGCACGTGAACTGTCTGAATCTGAAAAGCCAGAATTTCTTCGTCGGAGAGCACGTCGTCGTAGTCGCCATTAGACACGGGGATCCACTCTGAGGGCACTGAGGCACCCTCCATGAGATTGAAGCAGGCGATGGTGTCTAGATTGTTGATGCCCGTGAAATACACAAGGTGTATGTATCCTCGCACCATGGCATGGGTTTTATAGCCTTCGGAATTACGATCGCGTAATTTTTCTGGGCAGTGTTGCTCCGCAAACCGGACAAGCCATTCGTGAGAGATCGCGTATCCGTAGAACTGGGGATTAGGCTGCTTCTTCGGACGGACAAGTTTAATCGGTCGTTGTCTAATTGAATCAGGGGTTGAGATCTATAACCGTCAGAAAGTAAATAGATAATGCGAGAGGAGGTCTACCTTTAGTGCATCAAACAACTTCGAGAGTAGAGAAGACATGTTGATAGATATGTAAGATGGGATGACTGATAGTAACTGTTGCGATTGAGTGTGTTATCCAATTGTTGAGAAGACGAGACCGACTGTTGATTTGGGTTGCAATTATATAGTCACATAGCGGGTTGTGGACTGTGACCATCATAATAAGAACGTAAGACAGTCAACCCACAGCGACCTGATCCACAATGCCAATTGTGGGTTTTAAACAGTGCGGACATCCATATACTAGGGACTCCTCACGTGCCGTGTCCACCGCTGTCCACCGAAACATGACAAAATTCGTCTCATGCGTGGACAATGCGCGAATCGGGGATCCACCTAAGGTAAGCTTTTCATTCAGGAGATGTGATGGGGTTGTATGTAATACTACTTCATCGGGATATTTACGTTCACCAAATATGTACGCCAAAGCTTGTTGGTGTCTGCCTGAGCTAACCATTGATGCATCGATGCTCCGAAGCGCATTCTGTAGTGTTCGGTATGAGGATATCGATCATCTCACACACGCACTCTTTGCGCAACATGCCTCTACGCCGTAAAAGGCGCTCGAGATCATGAGCAACCGATGACTTTACGTTGAAAGGTGTATTCATTAGGGGTGACTTTCTAATACTTCGAGTTGAGCACCACGCTCCTTCGATCTGCGTTTTGACAACATTAACCGCATGATGATATACATCATGCTACCAGCCACTGGCGCAGACTCAAGTACTATTGAACTCAAGTCCTTTGATTCAGTCTTCGTTAGTGTTACGACCCACTTGCGCGACAAGACATCCTGTCATATTCAAAGCCAATGGTCTCAGCACATACCTAGCCTCCTCCCTGATAGCTCATTTCTTTGTTTGTCGCTCGTCTGAATTACAATATCTGAAGGTAGGACACTCCCTGTCGCTGCATCGCTTTTGCATGCCAATACTTCTACTACTTGTCGTGGGCTTGGACATGTCAATGAATCGGTCTAAAACATCAATGTAAGCAAAACAAGCCATTGACAGGGTAATCTTGGTAACGGGTTTTCGTATTCATGGTGAAATTAAAAGATTAAGTTCGAGCTTTTATGGGTGTGTCAGTATGGGATGCACCGCCAGTTGCAACCTTAATATAACGTGCACGCAGATCTCCCTGATAAGATGTAGTGGGCAGGGCCGGGCGCCTGCCTATATTCACTTGTCACGAGTACTATTCATGCTGCTGGTCACAGGCATTTCGAAGAATGACAATTTATCAACATCTGGGCCGGTGCATTTGGGGGAATCAATATTCAAGATTTGGCATTGATTCCGCACTTCAAGTTCACCGGACTAAGTCGTATGTTTGATCCAATGTAGTCATATAGTACATATATCATCAGAGGCACAGCCTATTTCATATGGGTATATACTCGAGGACGTAACTCGTTCAACTCTTCGCCACTCGCGCTCAATACGAACTCTTACAACCCATCCATGGACCACCACTGCGGTTCATGCCCAACCAACTCGGTAAGGTAGTCCACCTGTTCCTGAATAGGACGGTCTTCAAAAGAGTCTTCTTCATCCGAGCACACAGTGAGTACGTAAACTGTCCGAATTTGAAAAGCCAGAATTTCTTCGTCAGAGAGCACGTCGTCGAAGTAACAATTAGACACGGGGATCCACTCTGGAGGCACCGAGGCGCCTTCCATGGGATTGAAGCAAGTGATGGTGTCTAGATTTCTGATGCCCGTGGAATCCACAAGGTGTCCATGTGCTCGCATCATGGCATGGGTTTGATAGCCTTCGGAATTACGATCGCGTAACTTTTCTGGGCAGTGTTGCTCCGCAAACCGGACAAGCCATTCGTAAGAGATCGCGTATCCGTAGAACTGGGGACTAGACTGCTTCTTCGGACGGACAAGTTTAATTGATCGTTGTCTAATTGAATCCGGGGTCGAGATCTATGTCCGTTAGAAAGTAAATAGATAATGAGAGAGGAGGTCTACCTTTAGTGCATCAGACAACTTCGAGAGTAGAGAAGACATGTTGATAGAGACGTAAGATGACTGATAGTAACTGTTGAGATTGAGTGTATTATCCAATTATTGAGAAGACGAGACCGACTGTTGATTTGGGTTGCAATTATATAGTCACGTAGCAAGTTGTGGACTGTGACCATCATAATAAGAACGTAAGACAGTCAACCCACAGCGAACTGATCCACAATATTGTGTGTTTTAAACAGTGCGGACGTCCATATACTAGGGACTCCTCACGTGCCGTGTCCACCGCTGTCCACCGAAACATGACAAAATTCGTCTCATGCGTGGACAATGCACGAATCGGGGATCCACCTAAGGTCAGCTTTTCATTCAAGAGATGTGGTGGGGTTGTATGTAATACTACCGTGACTTTGTCGGAACATTTCCATTCACCAAATATGTACTAGGCTCGTGACCAGCCTGGCGTATACTACCACGGATATTCGAGTGGGATGCGCTATGATCAGTGAGAGGCATACGATGCTTTGTATGATGCGAATGAGGGAACTTTGTATGGTCAACGCTGTCTAGACTCCAAACAAATACAATGACTACCCAAAGCGGCACGACCGGCATCTACCAAATTTCAAACTCCTTAGTATACGTAATACTTCGAGTTGAGCACCGCGCTCCTTCGATCTGCGTTTTGACAACATCATTAACTGCTTGATGATATACATGTAACATCATGCTACCAGCCACTGGCGCAGACTCACTATTGAACTCAAGTCCTTTGATTCAGTCCTCGTTAGTGTTACGACCCACTTGCGCGACGGGACATCCTGTCATATTCAAAGCCAATGGTCTCAGCACATACCTAGCCTCCTCTCTGATAGCTCATTTCTCTGCTTGCCGCTTGTCTGAATTACAATTATCTAAAGGTAGGACACTCCCTGTCGCTGCATCACTTTCGCATACCAATACTTCAACTACTTGTCGTGGGCTTGGACATGAATCGGTCTAAAACATCAATGTAAACAAAACAAGCTATTGACAGGGTAATCTTGGTAACGGGTATTTCGTATTCATGGTGAAATAAAAGATTAAGTCCTAGCTTTTATGGGTGTGTCAGTATGAGATGCACTGCCAGTCCTGCAACGTTGCAACCTTAATATAACATGCACGCAGATCTCCCTGATCAGATGTAGGCTAGTGGTGGGTAGGGCCGGGCGCCTGCCTATATACTAGTAGCAACTCATCATTCACTTGTCGCGAGTGCTATTCATGCTGCTGGTCACAGAGGTATTTCGAAGAATGTCAATTTATCAAATTCTGGGTCAGCGCATTCGGAGGAATCAATATGATTCAAGATTTGGTGTCGATTCCGCACTTCAAGTTCACCGAACTAAGTCGTATACTTGACCCAATGTAGTCATGTACATATACCAACCGACGTACAGCCTATAAGTATAATTTCCATTGAAGGACTACATACTCGAGGACGTAACTCGTTCAACGAACTCTTTGCCACTCGCGCTCAATATGAACTCTTACAGCCCATCCACCACTGCGGTCCATGCCCGACCAACTCGGTAAGGTAGTCCATCTGTTCCTGAATAGGACGGTCTTCAAAAGACTCTTCTTCATCCGAACACACAGTGAGCACGTAAACTGTCCGAATTTGAAAAGCCAGAATTTCTTCGTCAGAGAGCACGTCGTCGAAGTAACAATTAGACACGGGGATCCACTCTGGAGGCACCGAGGCGCCTTCCATGGGATTGAAGCAAGTGATGGTGTCTAGATTGTTGATGCCCGTGAAATCCACAAGGTGTCCGTATGCTCGCATCATTGCGTGGGGTTTATAGCCTTTGGAATTACGATCGCGTAATTTTTCTGGGCAGTGTTGCTCCGCAAACTGGACAAGCCATTCGTAAGAGATCGCGTATCCGTAGAACTGGGGATTAGGCTGCTTCTTCGGACGGACAAGTTTAATCGGTCGTTGTCTAATTGAATCCAGGGTCGAGATCTATGTCCGTTAGAAAGTAAATAGATAATGAGAGGAGGTCTACCTTTAGTGTATCAAACAACTTCGAGAGTAGAGAAGACATGCTGATAGATATGTAAGATGACTGATAGTGACTGTTGCGATTGAGTGTGTTATCCAATTGTTGAGGAAGACGAAACCGACTGTTTATTTGGGTTGCAATTATACAGTCACATAGTGAGTTGTGGACTGCGACCGTCACGGCAGTAAGAACGTAAGACAGTCAACCCACAGCGAGCTGATCCACAATATTTTAAACAGTGTAGACATCTACTATTGGGGACTCCTCACGTGCCGTGTCCACCAACACATCGTGGACAATGCACGAATCGAGGATCCACCTAAAGTCAGCTTTTCATTCAGGAGATGTGATGGGGTTATATGTAATACTACTCCATCGGAACATTTGCATGATACGACCCTCACCAAATATGTACGCCAAAGCTTGTCGATGTCTGCCTGAGCTAACCATTGATACTCGGGCACGGCGAAGATCGTGGAAAGAATCACACCAATATCGATAATGAAGACGGGTAGGGATACGCGGCGGAGCGCATTCTGTAGTGTTTTGTATGAGGATGATCTCGCACACACGCACTCTTCGCGCAACATGCCTCTGCGCCGTAAAAGGTGCTCAAGAGCATGAGCAACCGATGGCTTCGTCGAAATGTATATTCATTATGGGTGACTTTCTAATACTTCGAGTTGAGCACTACGCTCCTTCGATCTGCGTTTTAACAACATTAACCGCATGAGGATATACATCATGCTACCAGCTAGCGCAATAACCTGTGATCCAGTGAATTGGAGTCGACTTTGATGGAGAAAACGGCAGAACTCACCCCGGAGAACAGCGCAGGTATCCACCAGATATAGTTCGATGTCAGCAGAGCGCCGGATATGGGGGTTCCTAGGATGAAACTGAGACTTTGAAGCAAGTAATATCAGAAATGCACGTACCAATCAAAATGCCAAATCCTGCAGTAGGCGCGTGTAAGTTTGTAACAGCTTAGAAGTAATTATAATTTGACAAGACTCACCGCTCAAGCAAAAGCAGATGCCCATCCGCGCGCTACAATCCAGTTCAGATGATTCGTTCATCCAAAATTAAACCATTACTCACCCAAGCTCAGATAGGTCGGGCGTTAAATCCGCCATAAGTGAGACCCATGACCCGATGACTGCACCATCCATCAACACATCTTCAATAAAACGCGGTAGAAAAAAACCACTTACATATCCCTGCGAAATAGCCATAAATCACACCAAGCACTGTGGCGCTAGCCAGGTTGCTCAATCCAATGAATCCCAAGTTGAGTACACCGCACGCAATCGTCGCAGCTATGGTTAAATTCGGGACTCCTGTGAAGGCTGCGATGAACCCCGACGTGACTCGTCCCACACAATTGGCGGCATTTAAAATCACTAGCTAGCGACACTGTCAGTAGGTACATCACTTGCATAGCGCTGGATCCCACAGAGTAAAATGAGAACGTGGTGCTGAGACCGTGCTTGATAGAGTCGAGTTGAAGGAAGAACATCGGATAGTAGAAGCCAAGCTGGAAAAGAAAGGCCCTACAGGATGGTTTTTTGGAGGAATTCGAGAAAATGTGCGTTACAGGTCTCACCCTGCTATCATGAGAACAAACGGTACATCGTGAATACACTTTCTAGCCGCCCCAATGTAGTTTACCGGTGTCGTCGGCGGATCAAGGCGAGTTCGCATGCATAGACATGCGATTAGAAGGAGCACGCTGACCAACCCTGCGCTTGCACGGACACCATTGGAAAAACCGAGAGGACCATTCAAAAGGTTATTGAGCATGATCGGATGAATGGTAGCGCCCAAAGAAGATCCCGAAGCGACGAACGTCAGAACCAGCGTGCGTTTGCGTCGGAAATAATGCGCCACGACAGCTGTGCTCGGGACAAACATGAGCCCCGCCGCGATACCTGAACCTAATCCTTGGGCAAGGAATATCTATACAAAATCAGAAGACGAGATCAGAGAGCAGGGGGAAAGTTACCTGGTAGTACTGATCAGGTTTCGACAAAGATAACATGAAGAGAGAAAAACTCTGCAGAAGTGATCCGGCAATCATGAGATGGTAACTTGTTAAGAGTGCTGAGTATCATCGAGCACCTCCAACAAAATGACACTCACAAATATCCTCGGTCATACAGTGAACCTGATACAATGCCTACAGCTGTGAGTAAAAACATGTTAAAACTCCCTATCCATCTACAAGAGACTTTGAGGATACTCGTCATGGAGACAGAAGTAGAAACTCACGATATAGCCGACGATGTTTGGTTTGTGAGGTAGTACTGGGTATAAAAATCTGGAGGGTAAGAGTTAAACATCCATCCCTGCTCTCATGTGAGACAATAGTACCTTGGTATACACCAAATGAAGTGGCATAACTTGTAGGATTCAGTCATACACCGTTCTTGACTAGCACTGGTAATAACTGACCCGTAGCCGCAGAACTGCACAAGAAACCTAGATAAATCGGTTAAGACTTGAGTTTACTGTCAAAACAACAATTCTCACGATCCAAGAACAGTTGTCCAAGCTGCCAGACCACCTTCAGGGAACTGATCCGAGAGTGAGGGAGGGTCGGAGTCCTTGATGACTGGGTATGTTTCCACTAGTGTCTTCGAGTCCCGTACATCCTCGTGGCAAGGGGCCCCTGTTTGAGGCTCGGATTTGGACGCCATCCAGAGGTGGGACAAATGACAGTGCGACTGTATATAAGTACATGGACCCTCACCTCGGTCAAGTCATGAGTTGTGAACCTCGCCTCGGCATGCTCGGCTTGACGGAAGAGAGTGAGAGCGCGTAACCAGACTGATGGGAAACGTAACGTCAATGCATTAACTCTGAGCCTTTTGCAACCGATACTTGCCTTGATCATAGCCTGAGTTTATTTCATAGGGTTAAGAAAATGGGGATGAATCCCTACAAAGATTACCCTGTACGTACGACATTGTCAGCAATCTTTGACAACCTGCACAAATAGAGCTAATCTCGTTCCCACTGCGCTGGGCCACCACAGGAACAACGTATCAGCCGGATAAACCACAGGAGAGGCCAGGAATATCGTGCGTGGAGCATTCAGTCCAAGTCGTGCTCAAATTGTGATTGTGCTTTCATGTGTCGGTTCGGCGTACAATAGGGCCGATGATGCTGTATACTCGTAAGTAAATATTATAGAATATGAAATCACAGGAGACCAGTGCGCGGTGACCAAAGTACGGCGCTACTCATAACCCTAAGTGGCGCGCAGGACACCGATCCCACTCCATAACGCATGGTTACGTCAGTGCTACATACGTCAGATGCTCGTGACTCTTAAGGTCACAGACTCAAGTGTCATTCAACATTCGATGTTTAATGCGCGATCATTGTCGATGCTCACTGGACGCTGAGCAAAAGGTATAAACCAGGCTGGTTCGAGCCTGAATATCTTTCCTTTATGAGATGGAAAGACACGTGTATGCGTCCGCTGCTGTGGAAGAGCAAGACTGATCTGAATCGAATGATGGAGGGTTCAAGGTTGCAATGAATTGATCAGAAATAACGGGAGAACAGTGGCCCACCCCATGACAAAGCATGACAACCGCGTCGGCTATACTCTAAAGTCGCTGGGTTTGAATTATGTAAAAGGTTAAAAAGAGAACACAGGCACTGAGACAGGCCGCCTCGGCCTCAGGAGCTTAGCTGAAAATGTTTCCGGATCGGATGAAGGGCAGCTCGCGAGAAATTGTCATGCAATCTAGACTGTGTGACCCCAAGGCCCATCGTAGTACGGCCCACAGCCTCGAGTCGCGAATATCGTTGAAACAAGGAGTGCTCGCCGCTGCTTGAGAGAATTTCAATTTCGAAGTCTGCCTTATTAGGGTTACAAAGATCTGCGGCACTTGCCGCTTCCCTGCAGGGCCAGTCCTGAGTCGACCCTTGAGTTTGGATGATCAATTCCTAGCTGACTTGTATTTGCAGTCCGACAGGCTCTCACATGCCCTTGACTCGCAATCGCATCTTCCTAGCAAGCAATTTAATTAATCATATTCACACCTCATGCGTGGAATACATCCCACTGCTGTTAGGCATTCGAATGTATCAAAAGAACGGGCTGCGTTTGAAGATGAATAATATTCGTGGCGCCGCCTATTTCACCAAGCGGCCACCGAGTTACATTTTGATCCCATGTAGTCAAGTACGTATTCCATCATGCCTAAGGCCTGGTTTATATATTAAGTGGTACAGGTAACACAATTGAAGGAAGCCCAGCGACGCAGCTTGTTTCAATCGTTCACCATTTGTGCTCAATCAATAGGCACTTAGACAACCCATCCACCAAGCACTGTGGTCCAGACTCCGTGCCCGATCAACTGTGTCAATTTGGAAGGCCAGAAGTTCTTCATCGGAGAGCATGTCATCGTAGTCGACACCCTACACAGCGATCCACTCCGCAGGTACTACCGAGTCAACCTTGGGATTGAAGCAGGTCTTGCGTCTAAGGAGGGGATGCTCGCAATTCATTCGTACCCTCGTGTCTCGGCTTCGTTTTCATAGCCTTTGTCAATGCGATCGCGCAATCTTCCAGACAAGTCCCGCTCCGCACACTGGATAAGCCACTCCCGATGGAACAGGCACGAATTTCAAGGGAAATCCCAAGGTCAAACCTCTATAGCGGGAGGCTGCGGCTCTATCTATCGAGGACCGACTACAACTTGCTAGCGCAGGACTACCGACTACGAACCAGGACTCCTGCCACTGCACCAGGGATTCTAGGCACTCCCAATGACCTGTGCCAGACCTCCCTGGTACACCGAGAGACTATTCAGATAAGGCTGCCTTTTCGGATGGACAAGTTTATGAGGTTGACGTCTGATGGAACGCCCTGACTACTTCGGCATCACGATCTTGTGGCTGATCGAGAGCAATAAATAACGCGATCTACCTTTAGGGCATCAACGACTTCGATGGGAGAGAAGACATCTTCGTGGTAGACAGGTAAGAATAAGTTCCATTTATTACCATATCCAATTTACTGAATGTTGTTCAATGTTGGGAATAGACGTGGCATACGTGTTATTTCCGTGGCTGGCATTATATAGCCACATGGTAAGTTGCCAGTCTGGAAGAAGGTGAGTGTCAATAGCAACGCGCGCATGCACAGTCGATAAGATGTTCAGGAAGTTCGTCACTGAAGTAGCAGTGTGGACCACGATGGTCTATATTCCTTGTGCATTGCGCTCAGAGAAGGCAGTCGTCAGATGCGGTGATCCTATCGCAGTGAGAACGCAGTTTTCAAATGGACTTTTCGCGTATGCGTTTTCCTCTCTTGTGGATCACGTCCCACTGATGTCATGCTATATCAACCAGCGCCCTTTCGTATACTCACCAGACGAAACACAGAGAAGTAACATATATGACGTGCAGATCTCCATTATGAAAGGGCCATGTCTATAAAGGCATTCATCACTTGCATGTCACAAGCGTGCCGCCAGTCATAGCGAGCGTTTGGAGGAGTCTAGATTTGGCGTCAGTTGATGACGCACTTCAACCAAGTTGCCTATTTGATCCAATGTAAGTAGCCACATACATACAACATCTAGATGAGATCCACTGCTGAAAAATTCAAGTGCAGAGCAGCTCGCTGTGGGTTGAGAAAAAAATTCGTTTATCTTCGTTGTATCGATCTGACTAGAACCCAGGGATACCACGCAATACTTGAGCAGATACACCACAATAGGTATTTCAACTTTTACAACTCGATACATGCTTGCGTCCAGTCTTGTCTGTTTCCCTCGTTGAATAACGGGCTCGACAGGCAGTAGTTACCCTCGCCTCTCTATCAAGAACACGTTGTTTTCATATCGAAATCACTGGATGTACTCTTTTCCCCTATCATTTATATTGTCTCTTGACGATCATAAGATCGCGACTCACAACCGACTTGGCGTTCCATCAGACATCGATCGTTCAAACTTGTTCGTCCCAAAAAGCAGCCTCATCCTCAGTTCTACGGCTATGCGGTATCTTTCGAATGGCTTATCCGGTTTGTGGAGCTCGCTGATGGTGAATACGATGTCACACTCTCCGACGAAGAACTTTTGGCCATTGAAATCGACACCATTTACGTGTGCATTGTGTGCTCGAGGGAAAATTCCTTTGAAGAGCATCCTATTGAGGAGAGAATGGAGTGCATGACAAAGTTAATCGGGCATGGACCACAGTGGTGGATGAAATGCATTCATATTGGGCGTGAACATTGGTAACTTGGAATCGACGACTTAGCTGGCTTGTATGCTAAACCTTGTACTTGTGACCCAAAGGGTCGTGGACAGGGGACTCCTCATGCGCCGAAACACGATCAAATTCGTCGAGTTGTGTGTACGCAATGCACGAACTGACGAACCAGTGTCAAACAAACCATACAGAATCGCTTGGCAGCATGGTATTGAGGTCCAATTATTCATGAGGAAAAGAAACATAGCTCAGGTTGATCCGGTAAACGCGGAGACATCACAAAAGTCGGAGCACCGTCCAAGGTATTTTACCTGAACCAACGACCCAGTTCTCAGGGGGCGAAGTCAGCGCACCCACGTACTCTGAATTGTCTCATTGAACGCCACAATGAAAAATCTCGCGTGTAGATGCAGTACTATAGATTCCTTCTGCCCACAGGTAACGTGTACATGCCGCTAATTTTAATCTCCCCTAGCCAGGGAGTATCATATACCAATTTGGCTTTCATCTTGCTCAAAAAATCGAAGCTGGCTCACACATCACATTGCCCAGAGGCAATCACGCATAAAGTCCAGGAGCATTAAATTAGTATGTCAACATTGTCAAGAAATACCAACATCCCCAATTAGTCACTACATACGTTATTCATAGCCAGCAAAGCTATCACTGTGGCTTGACGCCCCAGCCCAAAAGGGCAAATGTAACGGGCAAACCTTCGCCAGCCAAGATTGCCATTCCAGCATAGACCACTACCTTGGTCAACACTGAAGAATGATAGAAGTTAGTCTCAGAATTTGACATCCATCAAAAAAGACGGGTGGTGCACTCACCGTCAGCATCGTAGTGCTTAACTTCCTTGCGTTGAGATGGCCCGTTGCTGTTCTCGAGCTCAGATCCACTGTAATTTTCTCCATTGGCTGATGGTGAACCGTCATTCGACTTTACACCTCTTCGCTTGACCTCACTTGTTCTTCCTAACGCCGACCTTTCCCTGATTGTGCTGACCGCTAGGACGCCAGGAAGGTCGATAACACTTGGAATCGGGCGCAAACTGCTTTCAACTGGCATGTGTTGGTAATCTGTCGCAGGGGTATAGAAGCGTCGGTGCGGCAGGTCGAAGGAGGACGCAAGAAGACGGAAAAGAGGAGGAAGAACGAGATGCAGGAGCGATTTGGCTAAAATTCGCCATACAAAAATTGCGAGGATGCCTGCACAGATATATGTAAGCAAGAATGAAAACAAGATGGAAAAGGAACGGAAACGGACCGACGGTGACTTTAGCACAAGCCAGAGCCCACCATGAAGCTGTATCCTCCCAAGTCCACACGGTTCCTTGAGGTCCAGGCATCACGGAGCTCAGGAAGCGCTCATCAATACCAGAGCGCACGCTGTGCCACCGGCATAGTGCAATTCCAAGGAAGACAGAGGCAAACGCGATGGCATCCTCGAAGCATGGACAGTCATCGACAGGATGTGGGTGGTAATGTACAAGAAGTAGACAGATGGGAATCATCGTCAGCGGAACTGAAATGAAATGAGTAGGAATACGAGCAAGGATGGAAGATATCACCTATCCAGTGAGCAGTTGCCAGCCAATTCCCAAACGTCTCTTTCATGATCACATAGGCCCCCCAGATCACCACTCCAAGAAAGACACCAACCGCACAGTCGGTGAAGGAGTGCATGGCTGTGTACAAACGACCGAAGACTATGGTCACGGCGTATATCACGAGGATGACGCATGATCCATAGTAGATCGATGATGAGATTGCGTTTGATTGAATGTAGGCGCTTCTAACATAGCCAAAGATAAAAAGTGCCATGGATACGCTATTCGCAGAATGCGTTGAGGGAAACCCGTATTCAAGGTGGTGCATCCCGATCGCTGGAAGAACGCAGTCGATAAACTTTGTTATGAAGGAATCTCGTTCACTTACTCAGTCGCGTGACAGGAGGGGCCAATGGACGAGGTGAGCAAATAAGGTCCTTCAAAAACGAAACAATGTAAACTCCGGAAGCCAAAACAATCACCAGGCTGCTTGCGTTTTGAGTTGGAATAATTGACAGACAAATAGATCGTACCCTCGTCCGAACTCCTCGTAGCCAAAGAAAAATGCCAACGGTAGGCCAATCATGAAGAACGTTTGGGTGCCGAGAGTTGAACTATAGAGGAAATACAAGTCCAACCACGGGTGTCGTATGCGTTCCTACAGAAAGTCATGAAATACACGGACATGTTGAAATAATAAACAATACGAGCCTGCATCCGGGCCAATATTAGACTTTCTCGTTTCACCGAACTGAGAATTCGGGCTCGTATAGTTGCTCTCCACCATGGAAGTTCAGTTTCGTACACATCCACGACACACGGTGCGTCGGTGCGTCCTTGCTTGTCTAGTTGCGAATGTTCTAGTTTATCATGATAAGTGGCGAAGATGGGTTTCTTATTATGCGCGTGTTCATCGCGAAAAGTGACAGAGGGCAATGCATGTGTGTTGGACGCCTGGGTCGACATCATGGGGCCAGTCTGGCTGTCGTGGAAGCGTGCGCAGTTCAGTTGAAGGTAGAGCGCTGAGCAACCATCAAAACCATAGCTAATAAGCTGTGGTGAAACGTGCGAATATTGCTGAAGTACTACCTTCTAGATCGGGTCATCATGTTCCTGCAGCTCAACTGCAGCTATCGCAAATATGTAACAGTGACACCTTACGATCAATTTGACCATCGACGTGCGCGGCCTCCTACTTTTAAGATACAATAATGCGACCGTGGTTGAAGTGGCGCCCACGAGCCCACTCAGGCAATGCATGTTGTGCTGGCTGCTGCTGCCCTCGTTATCAAGCCAGGTGAGTCGTGTCGCTTTTGCCAAGACCCAGATCACTTCAAGTGCTCATTCAAGAGGATGACATCGATGACTACTTGCAATTCCAAGATGCTCCATTATTGCAACCACAACGGGGTGTCATTAATTCATTCTCTAACTGCTGGTATCTTCGCACGTCCCGTTGGCACAGTACATAATGGTCTTGCTCGGTGGCAACGGAAGACACCACAGATCTCCACTCTTCCAATATCTCCATTGCTCGTGCGGCAGTAAAATTTGTTCAGAAGCAAACACGTTGTTCAAAACCTCTTGCACACCCCAACGAATAACCAATACCACGCCGGTGAGTCATATCCAGAGCACAAACAGTACTCACATTTCGGCGTTTCGCAGCTGCTGCAGTGGCGATCATGAGTGCAAAAGATAGGACAATGCTCAGTTGCAGCGTCACTGGCAGATACTGATGCTATCAAAGTAGCAACGATGACGAGGACAAAGGAGAACCGCATTGTTTTTGTGAGGATGTGAATGAATCTGTCAGGAGGGGATTCAGGTATGTATAGGATCTCGAAGACGCCTTGCTTGTATGTACTGTTGTAGCGATGATGCCAGCAGAGACCTGATCTCCAAACGGCTACTCAATCCGATGAGTTGTTGTCAATTCCGTGGTGTTGTCAGCTAACCCTTGCATGGGAGATGTCCCATCGAACCTTGCAGGAGCGCAAGCGTGATTTGAGGAACTCAAATTCGACTAGCTTTGCCTTTATGTGCTGGATATTATTGTTGTAGCGACGATGCCAGCAGAGACCTGATCTCCAAACGGATACTCAATCCGATGAGTTGTTGTCAATCCTCGTGGTGTTGTCAGCTAAACCCTTGCATGGGAGATGTCCCATCGAACCTGCAGGAGCGCAAGCGTGATTTGAGGAACTCAAATTCGACTAGCTTTGCCTTTATGTGCTGGATATTATTGTTGTAGCGACGATGCCAGCAGAGGACCTGATCTCTAAAGGGGATGCTCAATTCGATGATTACGTTGTCACTTCCACAGCGCTGTCGGCTAAATTCTTGGCGTCCTATTAACCTCGCAGAGGGGCCCGAGCAAGCGTCATTTGATAAAATTGCGGTTGGCCCACCATGGCAGTGGGGAAACCAGTTTTTCGGTGTGTCAGCACAGGTTACGAGCACGATTATCCCCAATGACTAGAAGGGTGTGGAAGATAAGCCCTTAGCTTCATGGGTCACTGGCACTTGTCGTCTTCTGTGTTCAAAGCCGCTCCTTGCACCACATGTATTAGTTGTTACTTCAAATTTACAATATAACAAACTTGAAGCCTAAGTGGCTTGCTTTGGACTCCCGGTGATCTTGTTGACATCGTCGAAATCTACCGCCAATAATACTGATGCTAGAGCGCAGCCCGAGCAAGTATCGTTAAAGCAGATGACCTTTGACCGCCACCGAAAGTCGTGTTTTGCTAATTCGATCTCGTTGGCCAGAGACTCGGTGATACCCTGGTGTCTCCTCAGTGGCAAAACTATTCTTCTGCGAATGTATTCACAGTCATCGGGTGAAATGGAAGAGGAGCAGTGGTACTAGCGTGAAATAAGTTCGAGTCTCTCAAATGCGTCAATCACGTGATCGTATAGCTGTTTATGTAAAGTTACACGAACACGTTTGACAAGCGTGAGCAAATATTATTTTGTATCTGTTTGATTCTTCTCGAATATCGTAGGCTATATACCGCCATTTCATACCTGACCAATATCAGATTCAGTCGTACTTGATCAGGTAAGTGTTGGACGCCGAACGATCCGACGAGTCGATGACCGACGGATCCGAGATAGGGAGGATGAGGAGCTAGAAGAGTGCGAGTGCAGCCCAAAAGAGTAATGAGCGAGCAATGTATGATGTCGGCTCGCGCTCACCAATATCAGTTATTTGACACTTACAATTTTTATCCCGAGTCCACCCGCTATATAGAGTACCAGGACTCCCTAGTAGCATCTCAGTTCTTTCCAGAGACTGAGATGTAAGTGCCCCGTTTCGAGCACACCTTACAATATGCTGATGAGCCGTAGTATACTTGTTTCCTAGGTACATGGTTCGATCAATGAGTTCTTTCCAGAGACTGAGATTATACTTGTTTCCTAGCTCACCTGCTCTTTGATTGCCTCGATTCACTTGAGTAAGTATTGCAAGCTCTCACCTGACCATACATGTTTTGCTCTGTTTTGTTGATGTCTGAGGATCGTTATCAATTTCATAGCAAATTGGCAATGGACATGCACAATCGGATCTTCCTATCTGAATGATATGAATAATGCGTGCCTCAGGGTTCACCCCTGTTTCTACACTGGCCCTGCAGCCTCATTGTCTGATGAAGATCCTCAACATAGGTGCCTATTTGGCATTCGTTTAACTGTGCATATAAGGATGAAACAATACTGTCGCACACCATTTACTCTAGTGCTTGTCATCTTGAATGCTGCACTGAAGATTTCACCTCACTGAATCGCAATGGACATCTCTGTTGAGTCGATCTTGATTTTACAAACATTATCAACAGCAACTGATTAACCTGGGCAGGAGAGCAATGATGCCTCTACATTCAAGACCGAACCAGGTGCCATTCCTGCGACAGCCATCCAAAGATCAGGGAAGTTTCCTGATTGTAGGGGAGGGCTTGGTGATGTCTGGAAATGTGACATGTCTACACAATCCGAGGCCCGTTGTCCTCTTACTTAAGGGTCTTATATACAACACGTATATAGTGACAGCACAACTATATAGGATAAGACTTCTTGCCAGTCCTTAAGTACATGGTCTATGACTTTTCTAGTTTTCGTGGTAGATGATGTGTGAGTTCTTGGGAGGGTTTACTTAAAAATGTCCCCTTCTTGCTTTCTCTCTGTAGGTTTGCTTTGAGGTCTTTGTCAATTAAATAAGTTTATTTCACTGTTAAGACCGTACTCAAGTAGTATCGGATCCGAAGGGCTTCGGCCTCAGCTCGTGCGCTGTGCCCCTTTCCCGAGTCTTGCCCCTTATTTCAGAGAGCTAAAGTATCGCGTATAGAGTAACGGCCAATCCGGATCGGATCCGGATTAGAAACTAACGGGTGAGGACTGTCCGAAGACAGAGGCGGATATGTAGACTATAGGAATCTATCCTAAGTCTCGGAGTAGACAAGAGTAGTGTACTCAAGTCCGGATCACCCTATGAAGTTTGCTTCAGTGGGAAATAGTTCTCTTAGCTTGATTCTCCCTTCCTGTGAAAGAGAGAGATTATTTATATGTGTGAAGTTTAGTTTAAGTTTAGTAGGTTAGTTTGTTATATAGTCAACCCCTGTAAGGTAGTATATAACTCAGATAGATATTTCTTAGTCTTACTTTAAGGCACTAGTTTTGCCTGCACTTTATTTCTTAGGTAATCTCACTTGATTTGAGAACAGGGTTTAAAGTGGGAAGCTTAGATTAACAGTGGCAAAATGGGCTCATTTTATACCTTTTTGGAGGCCATCTTACTAAGCATGATTCAGCACATGGATTGGTAAGAACATTCTTACAAATCAATCCTTTTGGTGTGTTGAGTCAGCTTGTTTACTAACCAGCTTATTGATACAATGTAATATTACAAAGAAAGATGAATAAAAGACATGAATCATCCCAAGGATTGGTAAGAACATGCTTACAAACCAATCTTTTGAGTGAGCTGAATCACCCTTCTTACTAAGTAGCTTATAAATACACTTGCAAGTCTTACAAAGCATGACGAATCATGGCAAAAACATGATGAGTCAACTTGAATCCTTACAAATCAGATTATTAACCAGTCACATGACAAGCTTACAAACATGCTTTGTGGCTGGAGAGGAAGTCTGATGGATAAATATGCCTAGAAAAATGGAAAGAGATAGAATCCCATGGAACAAAATAGAAATACATGGAAAAAATGGAAGTGAAGTTTTGAAAGTGAAAATACTAGCTAATAACTAAGGGAAAAATGATGGGGTAACTTGGTGATAGGATACAGTCTGGTGTATTATACCTTCCTTATTACTCCTGCTATGTATATGTCATGGTATGAGTCACATACCATGCATGACACCATCTTGTGAGTTTACAAACAGGGAAACAGCTCCAGTGTCATGGTTATTTATCACAATCAAGGTCGCAGTCAAATCCATCAGGGATTTTCCAATAACAGGTATGCACAGTGTGGTTCTATCCATAAGCTTTATTCTGATTATTCCATGTCTCCCTCAATTTGCAGATGCAAAAATATTAAAAACCATAGGGAAGGTGAAGGAATGAAGTAGTTCACTGTTGCACTCACTGATAGATTTACTTACTGGACGATTTATCGCCAAGCCTACATTTGGACACAATTCTTGCACGATAACATTCTTCCCCTGGAGGGTGTTACTGTGGCCTATGAATTTGAGCCACTTCCCACATTGGTCACTCCGTGGATGGAAAATGGATGTCTCGACGACTATTTGAGACAGAAATTTGGTCTTTCGTGGGAGAGGAAGTTAAGTATGGTATGCATTTTATATCTGCGCCGTGCGGAGACGTGTTCAACAATGACTCGACATTTCAGGTAAGGGAAGTAGCAGCTGGTCTTGAGTATTGTGGGTAGCACTCGGCTCTGCACTTTGATTGACTGATCTCCTGTAGTGCATGACAAGGATATTGTCCATGGTAACCTTACTGCTGTAAGTTTCATTCGCCATGATCTATGCAGAAATAATGGTTCTGCAATTTAGACCAATGTCCTAGTCAGTGGTGATGGGAGGCTCTGTCTCGGAGATTTCGGTATTTCGATGACCCTCGCAGAAGCAGGCAACACTACATTCAACTCATGTCACCCGGGCAATGTCCGGTGGATGCTGCCGGAAGCACTTCAAGCTGGGGATGAGGATGAGGAGTGGGATGAGAAGCCAGCCAAGGCCTGGGATGTTTACTCATATGGTTGTGTCATCATGCAGGTGCATTGTGTGTTCTCATTCAAATGCCATGTTGCTGATATCATGCAGGTGTTTTCTGGCCATCAACCTTATGCCCATATCAAGAATGCTTTTTCCGCCATCGGAGCAATGCAAAGGGGGCGCAAACCGTTCCCCCAAATTGGCTGGTATCGGCGAAGAAATCCAGCAGTTAGCGCAACTATGCCTTTCAATGACCAGTCAAGACCGCCCATTGGTTGCCAAAATCATGGAGGTCTTGGGGTCACAGACAAACATCGCGGAGACTATGAAGATGATGCTATCGCAACTGCCAGTCACAGTGACACAAATATCGCAAGCAGTTCTCACGAAGTGCAACTATCATCCCGATGGTTTGGTCGCCATTGGTGCGGCTTTGAGATGCAAGTGGGTGGTGCACGGGTCAAGTGAGACTGAGGTTGGTGTATCTGTTTGAATCCATGGAACTGTATCTAATCCACCAGTCAACAGGTCACAGTCAAGACTTTGAGGGATGATGTTAACAGTCAAAATGATATAAACAAGATATTTAATGTGAGTCAGCATACAGTTCGGGATCGCTATACAGATGAATAATTTCTCGTTGATCTATTGCTTGGCAGAGGATTCGTCGTGAGATGTATGTCAGGGAAAAGTTGAGGCACGAGACCATCCTCGCCCTCTATGGAATGACCGAGGGTTTTGGAATTTTCCCATCCTTTGTATACCCATGGATGGCAGGTGGTTCGTTGCACGACTACATGAAATGAGAGTACTCCAACTTATCTCCATGTGAGAAGTGCGATATTGTAAGTTGTTTCATGGTCCATGGCATACATAAGGTCTCCAGCTCTAACCTCGAATGGGCAGCTACTAGAGGTGGCGCATGGCACCGGATATTGTCAGTGTCTCCTGTGACCACTCATGTATAGAATTCACGTGCAACCTTAGTACACAGGCAGGATGTCGCACATGGCAATTTAACGGGTGTATGCTTCGAACACTTGCATTACGCAAAGATCCTCACTGCATCCCTAGCATAACATTCTCCTTGATGGTTCAGGCCATGTGCACATCGCAGACTTCAGTCACTCCATAATCCTGGCTGAAGCAGGCAGCTGGATGTTCAGCGAGCAACCCTCGGGAGATGCAAGGTACACTGCGCCCGAGTCTATTTTCACTAGTGGCCAGACAGGAGCATCAAAGCCAACCAAATCAGGAGATGTGTACTCATATGGCTGCGTCGTGATTCTGGTACATTATGCAGCACATCAACATTTGATGCATTTTGCACTGCTATTCTCCAGGTATTATTGGGAAAAGTGCTGTACTGGTGGATTTCGGAAGAGAGTCAAGTGCTTTCAGAAAAAGAAAAGGGCACACAGCCTTTTCATCCTACTGTGGAGGTATGGTCTTGTGAAGTTTCTCTCACGCAGGCTTCAAAGGTTTTTTGATTCAAAGATCGATGAAGTGCTCCTGGACTTGGTGCAGCAGTGCTTGTTGGCGGAGGAATCCTGTCCTTCAATTGAGAAGGTCCTCTACTTAGTCCTAGTCCAAAGTTTTGGGTGAGTTACCTTTCTTCCATGCTGATGTTAAGCTCATCGTCTTCAGTGCTGCTGATCTGACGAACTTAGTCCAACGGCCCAACAAGATTCGTCAGGCCTTCAGAGGATTTGCAAATGTTCATAGATGCAAGCTCTATCTAAGAGACAATGATGCCATTCAACAAGTGGTTTCCCGCTACCAGTTTCCTTCCAGGTCAACTTGTACTAACGTAGGTGCCTTGTAAATTCTTTTGTCCTGCTTCCCTCACAGCAATCTATCTAGGTGGCAGTCAAGGAAATAATTTTGAGTGACAATGCAGACATGTTGACGTTTATCAATGTCAGTAGCCATGGGTTTCTTCATTCAATCAACTGACTTTCAGTGCTTCAGCAATTGTTTAGAGAGATTACGCTATGGTTGAGACTTGTACACAAGAATATCGTTCCTCTTTGGAGTGTTGTATATGGCTTTGGCTCCCTCCCAGCACTTGTCTTGCCATGGTTAGAAAATGGAGCATTGACTGGATACCTTCAACGTGAGCACAAAATACTTTCTTACAACAGGAAGTTTGCATTGGTTCAGTCTATATTTTCTTTTGCCGTATCCAGCACGCTGAGATCTCTTTAGCTCGAGGATGTTGCTCAAGGCCTTCAATATTGTATGTTCATTGTTTTGTCGTTGATGTGAAAGCATCTAACGTTTAATCAGGCAGTCCATTCGCAATCAATCATCCATGGCGACTTGAGCGGCATGCGTGCACATTTATGTAATTTATGAATGCTGAACTGAAGAAGCGTATTTAGAATAATGTTCTTGTTGACAAGAACGGAACAGCAAGCCTCACCAATTTTGGTCTCTCTGCCTTCCTTCCTGGCAGAATGAGTCAGGCATTGTTACCTACCAATCACATATGCACCGTGCCATACATGGCGCCAGAACACTTAATATTCGATGATGAAGACAATATATCACTGGTTTTCACTCCAAAAAGTGACATGTACGCTTTCGGAGGAATCATGTTGCAGGTGCGTGGCCTGTGTTATCAATACTAGCTGAACCCCTCATATCTTTCTGTAGGTTCTGGAAGGCAAGGTGCATACCATTACGTCCGCAATCAAGCAGCCATAATCAATAACATATCACACAGAATAATGCCCAAAAGGCTACCCACATCTGATATCATTGACAGCAACTGGGATTTCATGCAGACCTGTTGGTCAAGAGATATGGAGCATCGGCCTCTGACGAAGACGTTCTGGAATTTGTGGGAGGATGAGCTCAAATTCAATCATAGTGAATGTTGCCTCTGTACTTGTTTATTGTGTGTAGATTAGGAACCATGGACACCGCCTGGACAGTGTCTGGAACAAGTGAAGTGCTGATCGATCGATTCTACCACTTCTCGGCCTAATCCACCCACAAGATTGGTATTGCATGTGTCCTGTACAAAGAGATAGTCAATAATCGCTCGTAAACATATAATGTACATGAGGAAAGCCAAACATTGTAGCGCCTATCATCCAATGACTCTGAACCAGAATTTAAGTCCTGGTCGCCCAGCATTTTTGAATCATCGATGTCATCTTCATCTACAGAATCATACGTCTCGTCATCCGAAAAATACTGGCCCTCAAATGCCAGCACCAAGGCAATCCTGCATGTTTCCTACCCTTTCCTTTTTGCGCAGCAGAAAGGGATGCGAGAGGGCAGCAGATGCGGTTGCATTGGTGGCACCTGCATATGCATAGCGTGATGCATGCACAATCGCAAAGAACATCCCCGGCTTTGTTACCTTTGCTAGTCTCGATCATCGCACTTGATCATCTTCTTCGTGGTCGACAGGTGTGCTCTATGAGCTCGGTGCATGGTGGGCAGGGGCCAGTATGACAGCTTACCCTGCATTGGTGTGAGCAGTTGGGTAAGGTTTTGATGCTACATAATCCACCTATACTTCCGCGAGGCCAAGTACTAGTTGCTTATAAGTAAGGCGGCAAAGTATGGAAGACAGGACCACCGTGCTCCGTTCATCAGTAAAAAGTCAAGTTCGTCGTAGCCCTGGTGACAGCTATATAGAGCTATATAGCCACCATAGCGCTATGTAGCCGCAAGGTTTGCTACATACTCCTACAGTAGTCACGAACCTAAACAGTGTGTTATAGGTAGCTACAGGAGCTACCACGACCGCTACAGGACACTACAGGTGGCTTCATTGTGCAGTAGTGGGTCTCCATGACATTCTGCAATCTAATTAGTATCCACTGAAGCGCAAAACATCTCGCCGTCGATGAACTCATTAAAATAAAAATCATTCGCGGCCTCATATGCATCTCCACTCCTCAACCTTGACTCAACTGACAGTCCCATCTTTGGTATTAAATGACATGACCTAATGATTTCATCGACATGAATGACAGCAGAGTTGCGGCGACAATGGCGGGTCGAGCGTGACACTAGTCGCATTCCAGAAGAAGGGTCAGGTGTCCTGAAAGGTGTGAACCACTCAATGTATGCGAGGGCTCTGGTGTATGTGCCGAATTGACGAGGGAGGGTGAATATAGCACGAACTTGCGCCACTCTCAGACCTGCAACAGCGATTATTAAACACCACCCTTGAGACAACTCCCAAAAACCTACCATGCAGTGTCTGCAAATGCATAGGATGAGGACCGTCAGATATAAACCCCATATCAAACCGAGCCGGACCACCAGGCTTACGGCCTGATGACAATCTCTCAGGTGTGGCTCTAATGCACCTCCGCGTTGGTGTATCACCAACTCGGAGGTCAGGTGGTGTTACAACGACGACTTGCCGATAAACATCAAAACAGTCCTGCACCCCTGGTATGACAGTGCAGCCAGGGAGATTCTTCTGTATGAAAGATCAGAGAGCTGTCAAAAAGTCGGTAGCACCATGTGATGCTACAATCTCTTGAACCGATTGGTGTGGATGCCCTGGAGCCTTTGCAAGGACATGCGTCATTTGCAATTGCTCGGCAGATGTAGTATGGGGAGTAGCCGCCTCTGTTTCATGTGAGTCCGAGTCCGAATCCGAGTCTGAGTCGTACATGTTTGAATCATCCTTGGTCCAGCCTACAGCTGAGAGAGGCACTTGTGCCAGCCAATCCAGATATGCACCCTGCAGAAAGATGGCATCCTGGCGCTGGAGCCACAAAACCATTTGCTCTTCATAATCACGTTTACTGGTGGCACGGTAAGCATCCTTGGCAAAGTCTATATGCAAGTGCTCAGGAAGTTCTGTATTAAACCATCAGCTGCACCAAACAATGTTATTGACTGGACATAATGAGTGAGTTGGTGGATCTTTGGGATGTTGAAATGTTCGCGAATAGACAGTTCCTTGAGGACATCCTTATGACTATGGAATACTGATAGTGCTGTTTGTAAGGCTTTGAGCGAATCCGTTGTGTGAATCCACAGCTGCGCGTAATATGAGAAGTCCAGAATCGAATGAGCAACTACCAAGACCTGACTGGCAGGGATCCAAACTCAGCCACATATTCCATCTTCGACACCTGAAATACACATACCTAGGAACTGCTCCGGTGAGTAAGCCAATGAACACTCACTGCATTTGTTTATGTTCGCTTCTGGTCCATTGCTTGACAGTTGATATTCCTTTCTTGAAGTGATGGAGCCCTGGGTAATCTGGCATTGCCTTGAATCGTGCATCCATTTCTTCCTCTCCGATTATTTGCTGACACCACCTCACCAGGTGATCCTTGAATACACCTTTATGAACTTGGTGCAGAAGATCTGGAGTGAACGCTAGGAAGATGTCGGCATGGGGCATATCGGCCAAGAAGGGCTTGTAAATGCTACGTAGTCCATTTTCCTCGAATTCAGGCGGATGCTGACCCATCTTTCACCTTTGCAATATATCTTTCGTGGTCTTAGGATCACGCATCTCTGAGTGCAGTGCATCCCCTCGCTCCTCTGCCGCAACAAGACACTTCGGACACCGATTTCCTTACAACAGGCCACCAAACACTGTTCTGGGAAATCGGCCACATATGCGGCCAGAATCGGGTACACACGACATATCCATGAGTCAGCATACACCATCTTGACACCATCATTGCCGGCAGCAATCAGAGGATGGAGCAGGAGGGCCATGCAGTGATGGAAGAGACGGTATCTAGCCAGGGAGCGTTCCTCAGGAGTGAAGCAGTCGAGTTTCCCCGCAGGTAAGTAGCCGATAAGCACAGTCGCACGCGCCGAAGCCTGACGCCTTTTTGCTTTTGCGATGTTTCCAATAGACATGTACACCGGCCATGTTGACTTATCGCCTCAGAACTGTGACAAGGTCGTTTTGTCTGATGATAAAATAATCGGAGCAATAGTCGCTCCTTCAGGCAATGCTTTCTGCATAAGAGGTCAGTCTATTCCTTCAATGTTTCTCTAGATTAATCTTACCTGTTTCTCACCCCACCAGTCTGCTGTCCACATCTCGTCCATAACTCTATGTTGCCCTCCACGGTCAGCATATGCTCTGGCAGGTGAGTATGCCATGTCCGCCTTGAAACCAGTGTTTCCAATGAGCTCCTTAACACATTCAACAGGATCTCGACTCCACAGCTCAACTTCTTCTTGCAATAGCTCTCCGTCCTCGTCCTCACAATTCCCACAGACATTGACCTTTTGACAGCTCCACCCCGGACCATGGGGAAGCTTGTCTACTCTTTGCAAGAATGAACGATTGTTGTGAAACGATACCTTCGTGCGGTGTTTTTGTCTTTTGACAGGATCAATACGGTGAGTTCGACTTTTGTTCAAGGCTCTTGACGTACTATACGTAGTTTTAGAAATTCATCAGTCCATGTTTGTCCCAGATTTTGGACCAGCCACTGCGCTAGACCCCACTCTTCCCTGGTGAGTCATCTACTTAGTACATTTCTGGCCAACATGTCCAAGGACTTACGCATCCTCAAAGGGAGCCCACGGTTCTTCGCCACCTTCCTGTTGTTCTCTACTACGTGTTTCAAATCTGGTCTCCCCTTCGCCCAATGCCCAGCCCGCATCTGGCTGGGGTTCAATATACCGGCCAAAATCAGTGAGTGATGTACCATCCTCATTATCGACTTCTTCGACTGAAACATGTCGGATTTTGTTGAGTGTAGGGCTGGTGTCCATTTCAGGACCTGAGCGCGCGCGAACATGGCATGGTGCTATGTCTTCATGGCAGAAGTCTACGTCGGGTGTGTCCAAATCCTCCACCTCTACACCTTCAATCATTAATGTCCACTCCCTTCGGCATTCAGGCCGGCCTACAATGTGTCTCTTGAGGCCCTCAGGCGTCGATGTGACCTTCCCGCAAAACATACAGTCAGGCATGGTAGGATGGTAGGTATGTGGTTGCTAACAGGTCCATTCACTTCCTAATACCCTGGTTTTCAGGCACTAGGGCGCAGTTCATAATGGTGCGCCACCTTTCATTTCACTGGTTGGTTGCTAAGCTGCCTCCTCCTCTTTGGTCAGTTCCTCTTGTTTCTGCTGAGGCTCAGGAAGGGCTTTCCCATTCTTCGAGATAGCATAGTGTCTGCTTTAGGTCCGTCCTCCTCTTTGGTCAGTTCCTCTTGTTTCTGCTGAGGCTTGGGAAGGGCTTTCCAGTTCTTTGAGATAGAATAGTGTCTGCTTTAGGCCTGGCGCAGTTCATAAAGGTGCGCTACCATCGCTTCTTGGACCCGTACCAAGTGGCACCCCGACTAGGACCCTGAAAAGTTCTTCGTCAACAACGCGCTTTGCAGCGTCAACGCCGCCTCAAGGCGACTCCCGCCCTCAGCGGACAACCGAATTTCCAATTCACTCCGACTCAATATCCTAATACTTGAATCCAACTAACAATCAACCAGTACAATACCAGAGATGCCGGGGGGCCGAAGAAGCTCCAGCATGAGCACAAGCCCACCGCAAGCCTCACACACCTCTTCACCTACCTACAGCCTCAACACCCGAAAAACCACAAGATCAACACTTCCCCAAGCTACTATCGAAGCAATGCCCAACACGGTGAAGAACGGTAATAGTGGAAAGAAATTTCTCGAATCGAAACTACTATGCCTGATTAACGAACCCTTCACAATACCCCACTTAATTTCAGTCCTCTTCCAGATCTCACAGATGTCAAGCTCCACCCCAGCTTCGGTAGTTGCGGCAATTCGAGCAGTAGCTTTCATCATGAAAGACCACACGGCAAACGAACTAGCGGAGAAAGTTGCATGCCAAGTCGCGGAGAAGGCAGCCGAACAGATAACGGACTCTCTCACCACCCGCTTAGTTGACCACGTCATCGCTGCCATATCTCCCCAAGTTGCCCTAGTCCACACTGCGTCTCAATCCTTGACCACCTCACTGGAAGAAGCCACGGGTCTCCAAAACATGATGGACAGAGAACAGAGTGAAGAAGCGGGAAGCGTGAAGACTGCAGTAGAACGTATAGAGGAATCCGCGGACACACTCTTTTTGTACGTCGAAACCTGTCAGGGCGCACTCAAAGAATTCGCCCCCTCCCTTGAAGCCATGCAGGAAAGAGTCAATGAAATGTCCCAACAATTCACCCTCATGGCTACCCAAAAGCCCAACCCCACGCAACCGACATACAGCTCCATCGTTGCCTCACACCCATCCCCAGCAATTGATCAGGCACTCGGACGAGCAGCCGTCAGGGCCAGGGAAATACTGATTGACCCTCTGCCAGGAGCAACACTCTTCCCTCCCGATACTCCCAAGCACGACATCGCACGAAAGATCAACGACGCATTGGCAAAAGCCAGAGATGAAACCACCCCACCAGGGAAGGTCAAGGCGATCACGGTGCTCAAGAATGGAGGTTTGGTAGTAGAGTTAGAATCAGCATCATTGGTGTCCTGGCTTAACACCCCAACGGGGAAGACAGCACTAGAGAGCAACTTAGACCTAGCCGTATCGTTCCGTCATCGTACATTCCCGATAGTCTTGGAATACTTACTTATTCAACTACAGATAGACAACGCGGACTTCCCGAAGCAAATCGAGCAAGAAAACGACCTTCCGCTGAACACCATAGCAAATATCAGATGGATCAAGCCCCCTACAAAACGTTCCATGCAACAAAGGAAAGCCTTCGCTCTAATGCAGATTACTGACATTCATATAGCAAACAATATCCTACGTGACAGCATCTGCATCGCCAGCGAACGCATCGGTATCCGTAAGGACAAGAAGGAGCCCATACGCTGTGCCAAATGTCAGAAATTCAACCATATCGCGAAGAACTGCACGGCCTCACAGGACACATGCGGCACTTGTGGGAACAACCATAGGACAGCTGAATGCAACTCATGCCGGTGTCTTAATAACCGAGGGTCTTATATAAATACGTGTAAGAATGTAATGACACCACAATTACACTGGATAAGACTTCTTGCCAGTCCTCGATTAACACGGTCTACGACTTTTCTTCTTTCGTGGTAGATAACGTGTGAGTTCTTGGGAGGCTCGCTAAACCAATCAGTCAGATTAACTTAGCCGGAGCTTTATTATCTCTGATTGAAACTATGGGATTGTCTAGGATATACCGTCTAGACACTTGAACTGGTTTCCTGAATACACGGTTAACTGTTGAGAAGCTGGTCTCAAATGTGACTACGTGGACCAAAGCTCGTGTTGGTCAATATACAAATACCTGGTGAGAACGCTGGTCTCACAAATAACAACAAATGACAAATATAAAACAATGACAAATAACAACAATGACCAAAGCTCGTGTTGGTCAGTATACAAATACCTGGTGAGAACGCTGGTCTCACAAAAAACAACGGTGACCAAAGCTCGTGTTGGTTAGTAAACACTACGTGGTGAGAACACTGGTCTCACAAAACTGGGTTTCTATCGCGAGAAACTTACGTAATCTCAAGGGAAACACTTTCCCTGCACTTGTCCTGGACAGTTCTTACAAAGGAAATGGGCTTTGTAAGCAGCAATTTGTTCAGACTGAAGCTTCTTAGGTGAGAGTTCAATTTGCTCAAGTGGGAGTTCTTGAATGCAACAAGTGGGAGATCTATTTTTTTGGGGGAGAATGGGCTCTCCTTATATACATTTTGTGTGGGAATATTATGTAAGTAAAAAGGTGATGTAATGACTTCAGAATGTGAGAAGAATATTCCAAAAACTGGAGCAGAATGTTCTAGCAGGTGCAAAAGAACATTCCAGAATATTCATGGTGGGATAATGACATCATTCTGAGTCACTATGAGTCACTATGAGTCATTATGAGTCATTGGAATGTTCTAGCAAATTCCATGGAACATGACATCATTATGACATCACTATGATATCATATCTTTCAACCAAAATACCTGCAGGAGTGTAGGTGAAGTCCTATGACATCATTATGACATCATACCCTGTAGGTACAATTTTATGAAGCATCTGATTAGTCAGAGCATCCTAATAGAAAAGTAAAGTAAAGAAACACTAGAGAAAACAACTCAGAATAATGGAACAAATAATAGTACACAATACGCGGGCTTTTTAGATAGGTTTTTGTTAGGCTTTGAACTTTTCTCTATGGGTTTCTCTAGCCAAAGTGAATAAGCCAAATGAAAGGCAATACATTAACCTTCATTTTGCTTCTCATATCAACTAGGTCATTATGTGATTCCCATCTCACATATGACTTTTCTTCAAAACATGGTGGATTCATGAATCACTGAGGGAAAACTGAAACTATTGGACCAAGGTTTGATACCAAGGTATGGGTTGACTAGTCTGAGGACTAAGCTAACAGACTTTGTCTTTTAGGGGGATACCTAGTAGTCATGTCCATGCATGATTCCCAAATCATGCAGGACACCGCATAGAGCTTCAAGTGGAGCAATGGAACAGCCAACTTGACCGGTTGGTCGATGCCTATCTCGACTACCATTTGCACGATCGTGGGGATGGGATGCCACATATTCAGATGCTGATGTGGCTATTGACGGGAGTGATGGGCACTCGCTGACTGACATCTACTTGGTCGACATGTTTGGTACGTTTTTGTAGCTATGTAGTACTTTCTTGACCTTCTGCAGGCCGTCAGCAGATGTCCTTCCAGCCTCTGATCTCCCATCGCTACCCCAACGAGACGCTCGTCTACCATGGTTATTTGGGGTGCTCTCCTCTATATCCATTGGTTGCCATTTCCATCCGAACCCTCGCAACTTATCGTCAATACCATCGAACTTGCCCACGATTTAGTATCCAGGCACAGTGCAAAGCGCTGTGCCATCTTCACAATGTAGGTCTTCTCATGTGTCATAATTTATGTGATACTACTAGATCTTGTATTATAGATGCCATGTCGACCATACCTAAATTCACAATTCTCAGACGCATATGACGTATATCTTGAGATTTTACATCGTGTTGATTGCCGCTTAAACGAAGTACTCAAGCGCAACACTCCCAATTGGCAGATACTAAATGCATGCCCATGTTGTTCCTACAAACTCGACGAGGAGGCGCCACAGGTGATGGACCGGCTTTTCTCCATCAATGGCAATAACAGTCTCAAAAGATGGGCGTCTTTGACTTACGGCCTTACCCCACGGGTAGATCCTCGACAAGCTCGTTCTGATTACTGGGTCGATTGAGTAACCGTTGATAAGTTCAAGGATACAGTGAGAAGATCAGAGGTATGTTCATGATATGCGTATGTGCTTGAATAGTTGACCCAACTAAATTTGAATATACAGGATGACTGGGAAGATCAAGTCGCGAAGCCAGTGGAACCTGAGTTGACCTTCAATTGTACCGAGCGGTGGCGAAATGCTGGGCCCAAGCAGCGGAAAAAGATGTTTGCTGTTTTTGATGAGTCTGGCATCTTCGTTGCTACGTGCCGGCATCAATTTGTACTTCTCATGTGCGATATGGTTCGGAGCGGTGAGCTGTACGTTAAGTTTCATTCACTGACAGCATTGTGCTAATTTAAAGTTTAGAGCAAAATATCCTTTGGCTCTTATGAGTCAACTGCTGTCTGTCTTCGGAGCGAATGCTGGCTGTGCCTACGATATTGGCTGTGCGTTTTCCAAGACGCTAGGCAACAGCAGTCTTGGCCCCCTTGCCCCATCAGGAAAATATGGTAAGTCTATATAGCCATCCATAGCACTATAGCACACTATATAATCTCTATAGCCCCAAAGCCCATATAGACAAGTGCCTGATTTTGCAGGCTTACTAGACCTATGTATAGTGCTCTATAGTGACATACAGTGTATTGTAAATATATACTACTATCATACACAACCAATGTCAATCAAATTTAAAACTATACATAACTATACATAACTATACTTGACTATGCTATATCCAAATCTTGGTATAGTAGTTGAATTCACTGTCTATGAGACGCTTTGTAGCTTTTCAAACCGCACATATTCATATTAGATAGATAAAAGCACCTATTTCAATGCTATTAGGCAATAGCAACATCAGAAGTAGTACTAGGAGCATTAGTTTGTACTCTAGCAGACGCCTCCATGGCATCAAAATCTAATTCTGACCCAGATTCCTCATCCTCTCTCACCACAAAGCGACATGCCTCCCTATGGTAGCAATTATTAGCCCAATATATCTATATATAAAATGAAGAAAGCACTTTTACCCAACCTCTGTCCACAGATCATGACGTAGTTTCTCCATATACATGGGAGATTTCTGTCTGTATTCAGCCAGCTTCAGCATATACAGTGGCTCAAAAAACTGTCCGCATGTTTTGACATTTTTCACTATCTATGATATTGTGTGAGAATGAACAAATTCCTCAAGGACATACTTATACCACATTGTAGTATGGCTTCAGGGCTTTTATTTGAGCCCTACACCGTGGGAATCGGCGGAGATATGGTGGAGATATAAGGCTTATAAAATGATGACTCATGTGGACAGTTTTTTGAGTGTATATTAAAACTATATAAATCATTATTTATGACACCATAAAAATCATGCCACTATTATATAAATTATAAAGTGGTGTCATTATGTTATTTTATGACTATATCTAACTATATAAACCAGAATATCTCATGTATCATAGTCATAATCACCATGAAAGCCATCTCCTCTGCTCAAAGAGATAATATCCTCTCTCTGTCTTATGCTGGCCTCTCTGCTCGCCAAATTTCCTCTAGAACTGGAATATGCAAGTCCACTGTGGCCAAGTTCATCAAAGAAAGCCACCCAGACAAGGAAAACTCTTGTGGAGGACGTCCATCCAAGCTTACCTCTACTGACAAAAGGGCTATTATCCAACATATCACTACAGGAAAGGCTGATAATGCTGTCCAAGCCACCCATTATATCAATTCCACCATCACTACCCCTGTCTCTTCACAAACTGTGAGGAATGTTCTCAAGGCAGCTCATCTCAAGGCAGTAACAAAGAAGAAAAAGCCTCTTCTCTCCATCAAACATAGGCAGAGAAGACTAGCCTTTGCCTTAGCTCATCAACACTGGACTGTAGAGGACTGGAAGCATGTTATATGGTCAGATGAGACCAAAATCAATAGGATTGGGTCAGATGGGAAGGTGTATGTATGGAAAAAGAAGGGAGATGGCCTAACAGACAGAGAGGTTAATGGGACTGTCAAGTTTGGAGGAGGTTCTTTAATGGTATGGGGCTGTATGGGATGGAATGGTGTGGGAATGCTTGCTGAGGTTGAGGGGAAGATGAATGCTGAGCAGTATGTGGACATTTTAAATGACCACTTGCTGCCTAGCTTGGCAGAATCAGGGATTGATGAAGAAGATATCATTTTCCAACAGGATAATGATCCCAAGCACACATCCAGAAGAGCTAGGGAATGGTTTGAAGAACATAACATCAATGTTCTTGACTGGCCAGCACAGTCTCCTGATGTCAATGTCATTGAACATCTCTGGGGAACACTCAAGAAAAAGCTTCAAGCCTATGAAAACCCCCCTAAAGGAGTATGGGAGCTTTGGGAGAGAGTAGCAGTGGAATGGGGGAAGATCACAGCTGAGGATTGCCAGAAATTAATTGAGAGTATGCCTAGAAGGATAGAGGCAGTAATTAAAGCCAAGGGAGGTCATACAAAATACTAGAATACCTGGTTATTACTGTAAAATACTTGAGTCAAAAAACTGTCCGCATGAGTCACCATTTTGTGAGCCTTGTATCTCCACCATATCTCCACCGATTCCCACGGTGTAGGGCTCAAATGAAAGCCCTGAAGCCATACTACAATGTGGTATAAGCATGTTTTTGAGGCATTTGTTTGTTCTCACACAATATTATAGATAGTGAAAAATGCCAAAACATACGGACGGTTTTTTGAGCCACTGTAGTACTGGTGTCTAAAGAAATCTAACATTAGTTGACATCAAACTATACTACACAACAGTGCGACTCACCTTGGTTGAAAGACTGGCTCTTTGAATTCTATGACTACTGGGGAGCCAGTGAGCATACCCTTGAATGCGCATTCAGCCTGAAAAAAAAATCAGCTATAGCTAAATCCACAGAAAGGCTTCATTACCGCAGTAGCAATTAATGCAAGAAGGTTATCAGGGAGTTTTTCAAACTCATCCTTATATAGCAAACCTTCTGATACCGCGCCTTGAAAAAATTGACTAATGAGTAGCTGGCGCAAGAGTGCTGCACGAAATGGTAGATTCTTGTTGAAGGTCTTGTTCTAAAACATACTTAAGTTTCGTAATATTGTAGATATGAGAGACGTACCTTGAGATCCAATTCACCACATAGAAAAGGATCCTTTTTGGCAGAAACAAGCCATGAAGCGACTTCACCTATCTTGAAATCAGTAGATATTTTTTTTTAAGTAAGTTACGCACCAATATCCCTAGGTTTCATCTGCTGCAATAGAAAAATGACATTCTCTCTCGCCTTTCTTACCAGCTCCCCTCTCAACTGACTAGCACCAGACCACACCTAGAAACAAGTAAGCATGGGGTGCGACCAAAACTAAAACACTCACATAAGTTAGAGCTCTATTCTTCAAAACAGGATCTTGGCAAATGGCGTCAAACATTGGCTTTAGGGGAGAGCCTGGATTCTTGACCGCTTCTTTGATGCAGTCCCATGCAAAGGAGTCCTGCACATCCACTGAAGGGCCTGGAAAAGCATTCACCAAAGCTATCTTGATACGAAGTAGCTGGTGTGCAAGATCAACCAAGGGACCGCACCCATCCTTCTTCAAGGAAGCTAAAGTAGTAGGTAGTTTAGTGTCACCTTTGCGTACTCTTTTCCTACGAATCCTCTCCCCATTATCTTCCTGGGGCTCATCCTTGACCTCAATAAGCTTTATATAGGTAGTCAGCATTGAAGGCTATACAAAAAAAAATTACGCACCCCATTTGTTCTCCTTCTAGTACCTGTGCTCTCCGCTGATACATCTTCATCTCCATCATTGGCACCCTCATCACCACTGCCCTCATTGGCCCCATCTTGGTCACTAGAATCTAAGATATAATGAGCGTATGATGGACATATTTTTAATAGAAAAATCAAGACATACCAGGACTAGGCGTAGATTCTTTCTCTTTAGAAGGAACAACAGAAGGTAAAATGTCTGCAGGATCAGCGTCATCTATATGATCCATGTCACTGTCATCAGGGACCACTGGACGCGAACGTGACACTATTGCAACAGTTAGCTGTGTCAAATATGTCGAAGCAAAGACCTGCCTCTTTTACGCTTTTTGTCAGTGCTAGTGCTCGTATACTCCTGTTCCAAGTCACTCTCTTCATCTAACATAGCATCCACTTTCTTCCGAACATCTAAAATATGATATTTTGTTAACATATTTCCTAACTCATTAAGCTTTCAGCATCACATACTTTCTTTACGATTGACCTCAGCTTCTTTTTTCTTCTGTGCTTGAAACTTGAGGAATTCTTCATATTGGTCGTCTGAAACCTGCACTTTGGACCCAGTTGGTTTCCTTTGCGCCCTGGGCTTGGCTATAGGGGGTGCCGGTGTGTAAGTGTCCTTGTCACCTTTCCTTTAGCCTGAGGCTTGGTGGCCCTGCGTGACATTTTATATAGAAGTAAGATTTGAACTGTGATTAATGGCGTGGATGGGAAGGTTGAGAAGTTGGAAGCGAACTAAAGCTGACTTAAATACCATGAACCGAAACTTTATAATTAAGCGGTAACAAACACATGAGCCATGGCGCAAAAAACATATATACATTTTGCTCTGGTGTCATACGTAAGAATGCATGGTCTGGTTATCTACCCAACCATTTTGATTCTTAAGCCATGCTGCAAACTCCCTGTCTGTCTGAAAGACAAGAGACGCCCTTGCACCGTTATAGTCAAGGTTAAAATGAGTGACCTCGCTTGACCTAAAGAGTGCAACGTCACCAGAACGCAACTCCAGGACAAGTCCATTCTCTAGCAGGCACAAAGCGCCTCCTTGGAAGTGTCCGATTGGTATGACAAGACATAAATGGCGATCCTGTCCATCACGATGGGCTTTGGTCCTCACATTGATGTTGATGACCAAAGATATAAATGGCGCAAAAGGTGGAGAGACTTTTCCAATGCACTGCCGTCTGCGGACTGGTCTTCGGATTGCTTCTTAGATTTCCTTACATTTTTTCAACTTCAACTTGTACAGTTATCAACAAACTCAGAGCGTCAAGGTTTACTTTAAGGAGCAATGGGAAAAAAACGTGTTTGCCTTACAGTCATCATTCAATGGTATGACTTCACAACATTCCACGGTACGTTTCCATGCGGCTATGAATACCCAGAAGTTGATGTTGAGAACGTGTACACACCGTTAAATTCACCCTTTCCACCCAAATGATACCCCCATTCTAGGGTTATGATTGCGACGTTCCCCTGCAATCAGAGGGCTCTCCACCAATCAGAGCTCTCCACCAATCATACTCATTCCCGCTCCATGTCACAACCTTTTGCTGCAGGCATAAATAAGGGCAGACAGATGTATGTTGTAGCCCATCGATGGCGGCGGTCTGGAGCTAGTTCGGAGAAAATATCAAGGTAAGTCAGTGCTTCTATTGTAACCCCCTTGTATTGACCTTGCCTTTGATTTCCTTTCATCGATAACCCCTGGGTCTCTGCTGCCAACTCTTATCCGCACGACCTCCGCTTGCCCTTTCGTTTATCACCAACCGTCTTTGACTTTCTTTTTTCCATTCCTATCCCAATCACTTCAACAATGCCTACACCAGACTTTATTCATCTGGAACACAGGAGTTATAGCACGGTGAGAGACTTTCCTCCCTATACCGCGCAATGGCTGACCTGTTTATTTTTGGAGGTTCAATCCCGTGGTCTTGTTGCTAAGACAGACGAGGGGATATCAAAGAGCAGTAGTTGAACAAGCTCGCAACCTCAGGGCATTTCTAGAGCCCTCGCAGCACACACAGCCCTCGCCACATCCGCAGGCGTCTACATCCTTCCAACTCTCGCAGCCCTTGGATTCTTCTTGGGCCTCTGAAGGATTTGTTGCGACACAAATGGAAGAAACAAGGCAATCGCACGCGACGTCATCAAATGGCTCTGTCGTGATGAAGTTATTTTCCAACACATGAAAAATCCAGGCGATCCTACCAAGCTCCGGAGTGTGAAGGGTATTCTGCAGAGGTTTAAAGAAAAGGGGTATCTGAATGATCAAGGTGCGAGATTTGATGCGTTGACGCTTGTCTATTCTCATCTATTACCTAGGCTGGACAAATAAGATAGATTGTCCTGACTTGAAAGCACCTCACTTAATCGCCAACACGGTGGTGGCGCCAGCACAGAAGATCGTATGACCAATTTTTGAATCGTTTAGTCGAAGAGGCCCTTTTACTAGCAGGCGAATCCAAGATTAAGCGAATCTGGAGCTCGGAATCTTGTCAGAAACCTCTTCCTGGGTCTGCTGAAGAACGCAAACCGGATATCATACTCCTGCCCAACGACCCTCTCGTTCAGGACTGCGTCGTGTCTTCACGGCTTGCTGAGATGAAGCAGCACGGGGTTTGATGTTGATAGACAAGAGTGGTTTGACGAGCATCGCGAAGCCGGGCGAACACGATCTGGGGTTGTCAGGATGCACGCAACTTTGTCATCGTCTTGATGTTTGTGGGTGAAGCGTTTACTTTTGCATTTTTCGATCGCGGAGGAGCGGTTTGCCTTGACATGCTAAGCATCGTGGATGATAAAGAGGAATACCTTCGGCTTGTTCTATACTTATCCCTGGCCGATCCTGGTTGTCATTCCATCACGCTCGTATGGTCATTAGCTCACAATGTTATGCAATAGGTATGGTGGGCCTCGAGACATCTATCATGCAGAACAAAGCTGGGCGATTTATACGATCGAGGGTTTTCGGTCCCAAGGTGCCAATCAATATGGTACTCTTCATCAGCAATAACATTCATGGACGCGGCACCGTGGCTCGTCACGTCACACTGTCACGTGAGCGCATTGCACAGGCATTGCAGTTGGTGGGTTTTGGGGTGCCATGGAGAAATGGCTTAAGGGAATGGAGAAGGAGGTGGATGTGGTGGTTAAAGATACCTGGGTTGATCTTACCGCACCTCACACAGAAGGCATGATTCTCAATTACCTTCGACTCAAAGGCGTCCAGGGTGTTACGCGTTTACTCTTTGAGGGACTTGTTGCTGGCCCTGCCTCACCACCTCCACTCTTCCAAACTCATGATCGTCCTGGCATCGGTTCCTTGAAGGATATCGGCACAATATCCCAGACTGGCGACATCAACGTGTGGAGCAGCACTGTCTACAACCGCTCTTTTTGGGGTGTTCCGACGCTAGCCTTGGCAACAAGAGCATGGCTAGGAGGTCGGCAACATATGACCGCCGCCATCCTGTGCCTGAAGGCGTCACAGTACCAAAGCTGGAACCTGTGACGCGCGAAGTTTACCAGAGCGGATGCTCACCCGATCTTGGTTGTATCCATTGTGC